TTTATGTGTATAAAACTCAACTCAACATCAATTCAATCATACATAAATCTATTTTCATCTACAGTAGTTTTCTTTGTTTCTTTCTCTTGTTATATCTATGCCATTCAATGTAGAATAATTCAATAAAAACCATTATGTTTTCAAATATACTTCTTCAAGTCCATCATTCTCAGTTATATCTGTATTAATAATTGTATCTGATGCTACGATGGATGAACTATCTACTTGTGTTTGCTCTGCATCACTTTGATCAATTGTTTTAGGTACACGACAGAATACAAGTGCTATAATAAAACCTAAACCACTGAGCCCAATACCAGCATACAATGCATATTGATAACCTTCCAATGTAGTCTTTCCTCTTTTAAGCATTTGACTTTCAATTGTTCCTGCGATACCCAAACCTAATGAAATCGACCAATTAATTGCTGTATTAAGCATACTTGCTGCAACACCTTGTTGATGTATAGGCATTCTATTGCTGATAACTAATGATGCAGCAGGAAAGCTTATATCCATTCCAAATGGAGTTAATATTGTCGCTATAAATACTTGTATCCAATATGTTTGATTAGGAGGTGCCATAGCAATAAGAATATTACCGAGACAAAAGAAAATCATTGATGCCATAAGAAGATAATGAGCAGGTATACGACCATAGAGTTGAGAAACAGCTATCGTAGCTATAATACCAAAAATCACGAGTGGTGTCAACATGGCTGTTGTTAACAATGGTGATACATTACGAATAATTTCGAGAAATTGAACAATATAATAAATAAATATACCAAAACTTGACCAACCTAGAGACATACATATAAGAACACCTGGAAATCCAGCTACGGACCAAATGGATAATGGCATGATTGGTTCCTCTGTTTTCATTTCAACGAAAACAAAAAGTGCAATGACGAAAATACTAACAATTAATACACCATAAACATATGGTTTATCCCAACCTGATAGTGGTGCTTGATTCCAACAGTATATAAACAGAACAAGACCTGATACTCCAAGGATTGCACCAAGAATATCAGTTTTACCTGTTGGATGAACAGCTAGTGATAATTTATTTGGAACTACAATATAAGTCAAGATAGCAAGAATATAACAAAATAGTGCTAATGCCCATTGTGCCCATGGCCACCATACAAGTTGAGCAAATATACTTCCAAACAGAGCACCTAAAATAAATCCAGCCGGTGCTGTTGCTCCAAATAGTGAAAAAACAATAGATTTTCTTAAACCAATTGGATATGTTCTAGCAAGTAATGCAACAGCATTGGGTAAAAGCATAGTTGGACCTATTCCTTGAAATGCTCGCATGACATGAAAATAGATACTATTATTTACATATGCAGCCATACCAGTTAGTACACTAGATATGGAAAACATCAAATATCCAATTATAACTAACAATTTATGTCCAAAAATATCACCTAATCGTCCTGTAATCATTATAAAAACACCAACTGTTAAAGAATATGCAGCTAATGTCCAAGGTAATTCAGCATCATTTGTTATACCAATAGCTGGTCCAATAATATGAAGTGGAACAAGTACATTTCCTAGTGCAGCTTGTGTAAGTAATTGAGCACAAGACAAAACACTTACGTAGAGAATTTCATGAGGAAGATTATACAAAGAAGAAGGACGTTCATCTAAACTCATTAGTTTTCTTATTTGTTGATCAAGTAAATAGCCAGTTAAATCAAGAAAAAAAACACTCTCACATTGTTATCTTTATCATCATCATTTCAACACATATCTTCATACACTGTTATCATTTTTCTCAATAGTTATCAATGCTATGTTTGCACAAAAGAAAAAATAGAAATAATTCATCATTTTTATGTAGTCTTTACATTAGAAAGAATTCAAATAGTGATTCGAATAGAGACAATGTCAAAAAAAGGTTTTTCTACAAGAAATTAGAAAAATATGACTTCAAAAGTATTCGTGACAATATTGTTCGCTCTATCGTTTCATATAGGAAACTGATAAAAAATTTAATTTCTTTTTATTCTTTTTGAAAAAACATTGATAAATTTTGATATCCACTGTATACATATTGTTAGCAATCTCAATGACAATGTTCAATAACCGAAGTTCATTTCAACCAACTGCAATTAAATAACCATCCTATTTTATTTTATTGTGAATATATATGTGTAATATATTTAGCAAATAATTGAATAATATTACCATTAAATATATGAGAAAAAAAACAAATACTTAAATAAATATAATAAAATAAATCTAAATGGAATGTTAAAATTTTGCAGAAATTTATTTGCATTTGTCTTTCAGTTGGTCAATTCTTCCACTACTTTTTTAATTTCAGCAGCTAATTGATCAGCTTCAACTTGTGTTGTTGCTTCAGCATAAACACGTACAATATCTTCTGTACCCGATGGTCTTTTTAGAAGAAAAAGAAATAATTAATGAAATTTTATATAATTATTTTCTTACCGAACAAATGCACGACCTAATGGATATTTTGAAACAAGTTCATCTATACGATCTTGTAAATGAGCAGGAGCAATACAACGACGTTCAGCATCTGTTGTTTGTATTATAGTTCGATCTTTAACAGCTATTTTTAACTGTCGTTGTGGTAAATCATGATATAAATTTAACCATTTTTCAAGATTTAAATTCAATACAAAAAGTATAATTTCTGTTGCAAGTAAATCAGCTATAGCATCACCAATAGTTTCATTAATTAAATTAATAAATGTACGAATTTGATTTGCTGCTAAACGTTCTTTTTCCGTGCGTCTAAATAAAAAAATACAACTGTAAAAGCATTACTTCATGTCATCAACTCACTTTGGATCTTCACTTGCTGCCTTTATTTTACTTTTTAAATCATCACTGAAGAGTACCTAAACAAATCTCTACAATCATTGAATTCTTTTAACGAGAAAAGTTCTCCAACTATACTAAATCACTTTTCTGTCGAGACAATATACATTATGTTGACTCAAATGAGCTATGAATACTCTGAAATATTTAAATTTACCCAATAAATCATGAAAAGTGCTCAACCATGAAAGTATCTATGAAAAATTCAATTTACAAGCATTTTGTTTTTCTCTCTTGTGCAAAATTTCAAGCCGAAATTCTGAAATTATTATTTTTTTGCTGTAAAAAAAGAAAAACATTATACTGTTCCATGTCCATTTGCTTCAAAGTAAATACCAATATCATAATCAAGTGCTTTATGATGTAAATGTTTAACACCAGTTGGTACACATGCTACGGGAATTTTCTAAATAAAATCTGTTTTATTATTATCATCACTTTTAAATATACGTACCATGGTATTAACAATATAATCTGTTGAACGACCATTAGCATAAGCTGTTTGTACAACACCAATTTTAACATCATCAAATAATTTAGCTTCGTGTAATTTCAGTGAAAGAAATGATGCAAATAAAACAGAAAAACGATCACCATCAAGTAATCGAAATTGTTTATTTTTATCAATAAAAAAATAAATTAAACGATCAGCATCACCATCAATCGAACAATATTTTGGATAATTTTGTAATGGTGATAATCCATCAGGAGCTTTCTGATATATTTTAACATAATCAGCACCACACTAAATAAATTTAAAATAAAATATTTGAATATCTTTTTTCAGATTTTTTTACTTTATGATTTAAAAGACCTTTTGTACCATCATTAAAAATATCAATTCGAATAAGATTTGCTAATGTTCGACGGATACAAGCTAGTTTCATAGCACCAACACCATTTGCAGCATCAATAGCAAGTGTTTCAAAAGATTTATCCTTAGATGTCATCTAAATAAATCAAATCAATAAAAATACAACACAAAGACAAAATATTGTTGTCTTACACGAACTAAGTCTTGAAATGCTGTACATAATTTATCGAAATAATCAGCTTCAGTATATTTTCCATTGAGATCATCATCATTATAACAATGAATAGCATAATGAAGTTGTGGTGTTGTCATGAGTTCTAATTTAAGAAACGTAATAAATATTAATCACAAAAGTTCTCCTACCGAAATCCATAATAGTTGTATATAAAGCTTGCGCAGCTCGTTTGACAATATTTGCTAATAATGGACTACTTCGTCTAAACAAGAACATACATATAGATAAATAGATAACCTATCGTACGAAAGTCTTGGCACAACATATTCATTCATTTTTTTGGTCTTTTCGAATTAGTTTTTAATAAAAAAAATTTAATGGAAATACTCAACAAGTTTTGAAAATTTTATATAGTTCAAAAAAAAACTTGATATAACAAACCGAGTATCATATGCTATACCAATAATTGCTTCATCATTTGGTTGAATATTAAATTGAGTCATTAATGTTGTGACATAATCCCATATGATATGAATATCATCACTAATTAAACCAGAAAAATCATATGATTTTTTCTTTTATTAACTTAACTAACTCAATTGTACATAAATTATTTGCATAAACTTCCCATGCTTGATCAAGCATTTCACCTTGTGGATCAATAAATTTAACACCATTATCACGTTCCGGATTATGTGAAGCTGTTATCATTACACCCACACAAGCTATAATTAAGATGCAAAAATTAAAAAAATTAAATCTTATTAAATAAAAACAAAAATTAACCTTGCTTCAATTTAGATCGAAGAGCAGCTAGAATACCGATTCGAATCATTATCCATGGAAGTATATCAGCTCGAGCACGAAAACCACCTGTACCGTAACTTATGATAATACCAGCTGGTTTAGGATATTCATGTAAAAGACTTTTCAATTTTTCTATAACAATATGCGTCATTATTCGTTGTTTCTCTTCTATTGAATAAATCAATGATCTAAAAATTAAATAAAAACATCATATAATTGTATTAGTTTCGATAATCTTTAAACTAAAAAAGTCAAGTTGCTTTCATAATTCTATAAACTATTACGTGACAAAAAAATTGAAAGGATTAGTCTATCAAAGATCAAAAATACTTTTATTTATTGAGAAGCAACATTGAATTTCATCGAATATTTAAAATTATTATCACCATTTATACCAGCTTCAATTTGATCTCCTCTTTTAACTGGTCCAACACCCGCTGGTGTACCAGTTAAAATTAAATCTCCATGTTCAAGTGTTATATATTTTGATATATAAACAATCATATCTGCAATTGAAAAAATCATATCACGTGTATGACCATTTTGTCTCATTTGCCCATTAACACTAAGCCAAAGATTAATAGATGATGCATCAAGTTTATTTTTATCAATAAAATCACCACATGGACATGATGTATCAAAACCTTTTGCAAGTAACCATGGATGACCTTGTTTTTTTAATTGATCTTGAATTTTTCGTGCAGTCATATCAAGTGCAAGACAATATCCACCAACATTTTCCTCAGCTTGATCTTTATTAACATTTCGACATTGTTTATCTATAATAACACCTAATTCAACTTCATGATGAAGTTCATCCCATTCTGGTGGAATCTAATTAAATAAATTTGATTTTTATTGTTTAAAAAAAAAAAAGAGAATTTTTAGTACTATGATTTTATTTGGTTCAATAACAAAAGCACTGGAAGGTTTCATAAATATCAATGGTTTACTTGGTACAACCTTAAGAAAAAAATAAAATAAAAGTGATTAACAAAATTTATAAAAATAAATATTTCTATAGATATACATTGCCTAATTCGCTTGCATGTTCGCTAAATGATGACATGATAAATTTAAAAGAAAAATATGTAAAAAAATTTCTTCTACCTATAATTACGTCCAATACAAATAATTTTTTTGCAAATTGATCTAAAGTTTTTTAATGTTCCTGCCATGTTCAATTTTTTTTCCTTCTTGATAGCTTAGATTATTAAGAGATGCGGGCATGTCTCTAGTCTATGCTATAAATTTGATTGATGAAATAAATTGATCAATTATAAATAAGATAGATGTCTTCTTCATTTATCCATTCGTCAACGAAATTTTACAATCAGTCGAGATGGAAACAACAAGTTTAAAGGTAAAGTATGTTGTTTTGTTTTTCTTTAAATTTGTTTAAAATGATGATAATTTTCTTCTCTTTTATCTTAGGAACAAGAACGAGAAAATTTAGTACTTTCCGTATGGCCTAATTGTAATCATTTATCAACAATTGATCCAGCATGTTTAGCAGCTTCAGTAAAATATTTTATCGAAGTAGTTGATATATATTTATAGTTTTATCTATAGTTATGGCTTCGTGCACAAGGATTATCCTATTCAATTGTCAATGCTAATCGACAAATGTCGATGATATTAGGTAAAATATTTCTTCATTATTTCAAAATAATAGATAATCGACTTTTAAAGGAACTTATCCAACGTTGCATGACATGGTTAATAAAAAACATTATGTTGGATTTGAAACAATCTATGAATATAGTCGAACATCGAATGTTAGTATTTCCTTTTCATTGAATGAATCAGAAAACAGAAAATATTTATTTTTAGCCAACAGCTGATGAACTTGCTCTATTGGCAACATTTAAACGTCTATTTGTTCCAGCTTTTGTATGTGTGATTTGTTTTTTTTCTCTATTGGCTTTGTTTATATTATTATCTTTTATTACAGATGCACTCACAATGGTTGGATGAAACAAATAGAGCATCATTTCGAACTTTATATCATTATACAATTGGTTTACCAACTAGTTTATTTTATATTCGAAAAAAATTTTCATCAGCACAAACATGGTTTGATATTATTGCAAGTAAATGTTCATATCCAAATGAACAACAAAATACAGTAAGTTTTTTATTTTCTCTTCGGTTATCTTTTTATAGTAATTGCTAGATATATGCTGATGCTGACCGATGTTTTTCAATACTTGAAGATAAACTAGCAAAAAATAATCAACAATTTATTGGTGGAGAAAAGTATGAAACACACAAAAAAAGAAACAATGTTATGAAATTTTCCAATTATCTATTTTGTATTTTCATTTAGATTTTCTCTTATTGATGCTTGGGTTAGTTCGTATCTTCTCGTACTTGTTCATTTTGCATCAGAAAAATCTCGATTACGAACATTATTAACTCAACATTCACGACTTATTGATTATATTCAACGTATTGATGAAGAACAATTATTGTTATCTAAAGAACGTGAAAGTCATACTCATACATCACCATCGTCTCCGGAAAATTCAGTTGATATAGTCAATGTATTACATATTATTTCACAATTAGTATCTTTCTCGATCTTTTTTTTTATGTTAACAAAAATTGGTGCAAATTCTAATACGATTACACCATAACTGTTGACACTTTTTTTTTTGTTCTTCAACCAAAGTAGAATTTTATAAATGGAGGGAGATCGGACAAATTTAATAATGATAACTCTTTGTATAATTAGAATTCAAATAGACTTTTATTTATATATAGCAGCTTCTTTTTTTTGATTAGAAAATAAAATTTGAAATTATATCGGAAATTATCACTATAACTTATGTATCTTGTTAACTGTCTGTTGAAACTATATTTAGTCAAACGCATAATAAGGCAATAAACTATTGATTATGAAAGATCATGTCGATGTGAAGCGCAGCATTTATGTAGTTCTTCGCTTATTTTTTGCTGTAATAAAATCTGTACTTTGGGTCGCAATGTTTTAGAGAGCGGTAAATTGCTAGTCTAAATGATTTTTAATGTTCAATATGAGTTTTGAGCAGGAGAAATAATGGAAACTTGCGACAGGACAAGCTTGACGCTTGGTACAATCGTTTATCATTCTTATGTTAATTAAAATTCAATTGCCGAAAATTGAGATCACTTTTATGTGGACTATTACGATGATCTAAAGAACGGAGAGTCAAAAAAATACGCAGATAGACGTACTTGTCCTGTTTTATTCATCCATCGAAGGAATCTTCTGCAATCTGTGCTGCTCGCTACTAATATATTAAACAATAAAATTAGGTGAATAATACTGATTGCAAAATGCGTAGTTGCTTCTTTTGAAAGAATGAACAGCGGCATGCTATTGTTGTATCATCAATAAAAACTAAACAAATCAATAGATTGAACTAAACTTTTTTGTTTCTAATATACTCTTGATACTTGTCAATTGTAATATGATGGCCATCATAAATAAGGTCACGGATCTGTTTGAACCCTGTACGGATGTTGCTTGATGACAGATACGCTTGGTTGTGCTCTGTCTTAAACATCTGATTTATTTTCACGAATTGATTCACAGTACAAGTCCTTATTTTCATTTGTGTCAATCTTCACCTCGTCATTATTTATACTTCTTTATCCAAATAATACATGTGGGTGTGGATGTTGGTCATAGCTTTCACACTGCTATCCTCTTGACCCACACCCTATTAATATTTTGATATTTTTGAGCGATTCTTCAGCTGTTGTATTTTACTAATCGTTAAAAGTTCATTTACACATCCAGACATATCCGAAGTATGATTATTATTAACAAAAGTTGTTTTATTAATCTTCCTTTGTGTATAGACTGAATATATCAATGTTGATATATTTCAATAATTTTGAAGATTAATCATTAAAATTCGAATAAACAGTTAAATTAACATGTAAAATCGATGTATCTGAATCATCAGTTAAATTTATTAATCAGTAACATTGCAATAGAAATGTCTGATAAAAACAAAGAGAAAAAAGTGAATAGATGCAAGTACAGATTTTACTATCAATAACATCAAGTTTCTTTTTTTCGAGTGAAAAAACAACAAAAAAAGTAAGTTAATTAATATACTTTTAACACAGATTCTTCATTTTACATTATCGGATATCGTAATGTTTATCAAGCTAATTGGATTCAAATACAAAAAAAAATCGTCAAATCAATACAATCTTCTTGTAAAAAAAGAATTCCCTTAGTGTTCAAATTATTATTGTTGTGTTTGTGCATTAGAAATGAAGATAACATTTAAAGAATGGATCATATAGGATAAACAATACGTGTACAATTCAATCGATCCATGTTAAAGATTTTCACAAAAAGAAAACCTATTTTTTTAGTTTCATTAATAAAATTACGTCGTGTTGAAATCAGAAAAGTTAAATCCCACATACAAGAACAGTTTTTACAATAAAATTTATTCATTACAAATACTGTTGGCATAATTCCTACGGTATTAAAAAATCAACTATTTAGAATATTTTTATGTTTAAGCTGTGAGTTCCATTCCATATTTTTAAGTGAAATCGATAAAGGATATTGTTCAGCTTGAGAAAAATCTTATTAATCGAGCTAATATTAGTCTTACAACATCTGGAAGTTAATATACTATAATAAACGAATTGCTAGATAAAATAAAAAATGGATTGCAGAAAGAGTTTTTTTTATGTCATCCATTATCAACTGATTTACGAGTTGAACATGCATGTTCAAGGTGTAGATGTGAGGGGTAGTCTCAACAAGATTATATGTGCACGCTCAAGGTGTTCAAGAAGTACGGTTTTAGTTTTCTAGAACCCTTATCTTTGAGTATCTAGTGATAATTTTTATTTTCTTATATTCTAGCTGAAAAAACAGTTTACAGTGTTCGAATTACTATGTGGAATCTCTCTAACACTTTCGACATTGTAAAAGAATTGAAACTAAACGTCATTAAATAGCTTCTGTACCCGACAAGACCTAGCATTTTGATTTTTGCAGTTACATTAGACTATCTCAAAAGATTCTTTTTTCTCATCAGGAGCAAGTAAAAAATAAACCCATTTTTGTCCTAAGTATTATTATGGGAATGTTAATATTTTTGAAGTACAAGTTCAAATAAACCAACTGAATGCGTTTCTTCTTTTTTTTTTTATTGAAAATCTTCTAAAATATCTATTGAAATTGAGGGTGTGGGTGTTTGTCCTCATTTCGTCAATACCCACACCCACATCTTGATAGATCAGAATTTTATCATTATAATAAAAAAATAGAGCAGTGGAACAAAAAAAGTGTGAAATTTATGACAAACGAAATATAAAAGTCATTCTTCAGATATTCTCTGATATTTGAAAAATGTTTTCATCTAATTGAAAATTCTAACAGATAATAACATTTATGGATTAATGATCTACATTTGTTTCCTATATGAAATAAATAATATTTCAAATTAAAAAAAAAACTGAATAATAATAGCTCATTTTCTATTCAAACATGATAATTATTCATTTTAAATCGTATAAAAAAGCTGATACATTTACTTGAAAATAATTATTTGAAAATAATAAAAACTAATTAATGTTCTATTGATAAACTCTAGGAAGCATTAGTTCATTTCAAGAATAATCCTTTTAAATAATTTTAATCATTTGACATGATATGATATTTGTTTTAGATATTTCTTCTTTTAATTACAAGAAAAAGTTTGAGACATGCATTCATGTAACAATTTATTGTTCATACTGCAGAATTTTTTCAATAAGATATTTTTAGGCAGCCATAATCTTAATGGAACACATCACTTTTTGACAATATACTATTATTCTCTTCTCTATTGATAGGAAAGTGAATGCTTTGAAAACTGCTAACTTTGTTTTTTTAAAAATATTTTTCGTCTTATACAAAATTTAAAAGTTTAAAACATAGTCAATCTTAAAACCGCACTTTTATGTTTTTTTCAGACATTGACAATTAGTTAAAGCCTTTCTCCATAACATTTGACATGAATCAATGCAAATTTTTCTGTTACGATTCATAGTTCACATGAAATCAAA